TCTAACTTCCTTTGCAAGCCAGCCCCAAGAGCTGAAATTGGCTGCAATCCTCAACCATAGTATTTGATATCCTTTCCAAGAAATGCACGATTAACTATGATACCTTTGGATATTCAATATTTAATAGACCTAGCACTGTTGTTGCCTGGGCTGGGATTCCATTCTCTGATAGATTCCACATCAATGGAGCATAGCACAAGAATTTCTAAGATCAATAATTAATTATTAAAAAGAAAACCATAAACCCAACCAAAACAAAAATCCCCAGTAATTCTCTAAAGTTAACAAGGACAGAAAATGCAAAATTGTACATGAGAAGTGAAACAAAATTCTGAACATATTTTCTTTGTTGTAAAAGAATTCCCAGCAACTTTGTCTTTGCACATCCATAGAAGCTTAAGATTCTTAAGATAATAGAGTAGAATATGGTGCACAATTTTAGAAATGCAAACTTTATGCAATCCTGAGCCAGTAATACCACTTCTTCAGAGTGCAAATAACTTACTATTTGATGCATAGAGAGCTCTATATCTAAATGACAGGTCTCCATCCAACTAAATAAGATAATGCTGCCAAATCTATTTCTGTAATCTCAGTGACCTCATAGGTTTTCATTAAATATATGAAATAAAATGAGAGATGAAAAGTGGCCTATTTAACCTATGCAAAAATAATAAGAGGGCTTATTTATTTTAGTATGTTCAAAATGAATAGCATGCTAGAGGTATGTGGTATGTTTTATAAACTACAGTAGATATCTGTCAAAAGAATAATCTTGCTGAAAACTTTTCCTATTAGACTGAGTTGCCTGCATTCTCCTTGCAGCAGGGAGCCATAATCATGGGCCCACATTTCTCAGTTCCAGACTTTTCACAAACACACAGAAAAAAGTGAGCTTTACCCCGGCAACTTTACAATCAAGGTCCTATGGGCCTAAAGTCAAGAACATAGTTAAAACACATGGCTAGTCTGGAGAATTTAAATCTTAAATCTTAATTTAAATGTTTGACCTCATTGCAGCCTACAATTTCCTCACAAGGAGAAGCAGAGGGGCAGGGGAGGGCAGGCACAGGTCTCTTCTCTGTGGTGACTACTGACAGGACCCAAGGGAATGAGGCGGTGTGAGGGGAGGTTCAAGCTGGATATTAGGAAAAGGTTCTTCACCCAGAGGGTGGCTGGGAACTGGAACAGGCTCCCCAGGAAAGTGGTCACAGCACCAAGCCTGACAGTTCAAGAAGCATTTGGACAATGTTCTCAGGCACATTCGTATCCTGTGCAGGTCCTGGAGTCAGAATTTGATGATCCTTGTGGGATCCTTCAGACTCAGGATATTATGTGATTCTGTGACAAAGCAAAGCCAGATCTTTTCATATGCTACTTTCCATCATGGGTGAATTTTCTGATTCCAAAAGCTGTACTAGTGGCTGCCCCTTACTTTTTCTGTTTATTACAAAATATGAGAAAAGATGTGCTAGAGATTACCTAAGTAGCATAAAAATACCCAAATGGAAGCAAGGGACTTATGCTCAGCACACAACCATTTGCAGGAAAAGTTCTCTAACAATTGAGTTTCTCCTGTATGCAGAGCTCTGAATAGGAGAGTTCAGGTGTGTGCACCTGATTGTGCTGCAGATACAATCATAGAACAGTTTGGGTTGCAAGGGCCCAAAACAGGTCATCTAGTCCAACCCCCCTGCAATGAGCAAGGAATGTCCTCATGCTCCTCGTGACAGAATAAAATTCACTGGCAGAGATGACTCATGAGTGTTTCCTTCCTGCACAAACCCACTCTGGAACATGCCCTTTGGTTTAACGCTATCCTCCTGCTGTTGCGCTCGCATGACAGCAGCCATTCATTCACTCACTCATTCATTCATTTCTTCACAAGGTAGGAAGACAGACGTGAAGCTGTCAAAGAGAGCTGGCAAGAGCCTGTAAGGCCTGATTAAGCTCTCCCAGGCTTTGGGAACAAAGCCAAGAAAAAAGCCATCAGTTTTTGATGTCTTTCCTTGGTAACATTTTGTTCATGTTTAGATGAAATGCAACTAGTAAAAAAAAAAAAAATAATAAAAAAGTGCCAAAAAAGCCCTGTTTTCCTTTTCCTGCTTGCATTCCCCATGGGCACTCTGGCAGCTTGACAAAATAGTAACTGAGAATGAGTGCTGCAGGGCCAAGTCCCGGCTGCAGCTGAGCTTTGTGTGGGGAGTGCCGGGGAGCTGCCGGGACACCAAAGGGAGTAGCTAAAGTGATACACTGCCGGGCTGGTATTTGCAGCCTTGATTCCCCAGTTACCCACCGTGGGACATTCATTTTAGGTCTCACACAACTTCAGCAGTGTTCAGAGCGGTGGGAGAGCAAGCAGCCTCTCCTGGGGTAGAGGTGGTTCCATCAGCCTCTTCCCCTGGAACCAGAACAACCTGGTAACAGAGCGTGGTGTCAAGACTGTGAGAGTTAGACTGGGTGCATATTTGCATATTTTGCCTTGTCTTTCAGAAAGCACAGAAAAACTTATTCAGAAATTTCGTATCTACTTTGAAAATTTAGCCCTTGGGAGCTTTTCTTTTTTTTTTCTTAGAATTATGAAATTTATTCAGCGCGCATTTTAAGCGCATAGAAACTGCCATCTTAGATCAGACCAAAAACCCTTCTAGTCAATAATCTTCTGTCTGATAGCAGCTACTAAGTGACACCTTGGGAAGTGTGAAAAACACAGACCAAGGTCCATAGCTCTAGTTTAGTCTCCAGAAGGAATAAGTAGCCTGTCTGACTCAGAGGGAAAACAGAGCATTTTGGTTTGTACCTTGCTCCTTTCCTAACAAAATCAGAGTTCAATTTTCTCTTTGGAGAACTGCTGAACATTGAGTTAATCATGCCACAGAAGTATCTTTTATAACACTCAGAAACAGCTACCATTCAGTTACTGTCAACTCAGAGCACGTATTGTATCTGTAAAGTTAGGACCGTTTTACCCTGTGTGCATCTATTTATTCCCATCCTTGTTAACTTGCTTTGCTGCTTTCTCATCAGTTGATCAATGCCCTGAGAACCTTCTGCAGCTCCTCACAGTCCATCCTCTTGCTTTACTGTGCTACAGACATCAGGTCACCAGCAGCAAACTTCCTGTCCCTCTTCGCCCCTTCTCTAGATCATTTCTGAGCACTTTGACAAATGGAGATCTTTGCAAGGACATGTTGGCAACCTTTTTTTACTATGAAAACAACCATACACTAGTTACTTATTTGCTGATGAGAAGAGTATCTCTAAAAACACAGGGCTGCTTAGTTTCTTCAGCAGTTTCCTTGTGAGGGATCTTGTTGGATGCCTACTAGTGGGATCTCTCTGTCCATTGATACATTCAAAGGACCCTAGCTAACTAATCCCTCTTCTATCTCAAGTGTCCATGTGTGTCCTAATTCTATTTTTCAATAGTTTCTATTAATTATCCCATTAGAGATGTCAAGCATACCAACCTGCAGATGCCAGGCTCAAGCCTATCGATAATGTTCTGTAGATACCCACCCCAAATCAGAATAAACAGAAAATCTTAAAAGGAGTCTGAATAAAAATACTGTTTGAATTAAAATATTGTTTGTTCAGCTTTGAAACATTCATTCTTTTCATTTTGCATGCATGCATGCACATATGCATATGTATGTATATAGAATTTTCAGACCATTGAGCAAATACACATCCCATTATGAAATTGAAAAATCAAACTCCACCCTAATCCAACCGACACTTAGCAACATTTTCCTACAAAGCTGACACTAAACACAGTTTGACAAAAGAAATAAATTACATGTAATTTATGTAAAATCTGTAATTTAAATTCTTGTTTTGGTAATGTTTTAATATTTTTTCCAGTTCATTTCCTTCTCTTTTAAGTGTCATGTTTCTAGACAAATCCTTGAATTGGGGCTTGCCAAACTATTCCAAAGCTGCAGCACAGAAGCAAATCACAAGCACAGCATCTAACACACCTCTGCAACCTTCCAGGAAAAATACATATCCATCATGTCTCTTCCATCTGAATTTCAGTGTAATCTGTTTTCCTGCATTTGTATTTCCTCTGGGAATGAAAGAAATTCTTTTATTTCCCAACTGTTTATCCTACCCTATCTCCCTCTCAATCCCACACAATCACCAGTGAAGAATTAAAAATGACAGAGGAAAAATAAAATAAAGCTGTCTGAATTTTACATTCGCCACTTCGTTGATTGTGGAAGCAGTCCCTCAACAAAATTAGTGCTTTAGAGCGTATTACTTACTGCATCAATATAAAAAAAAAAAAAAAAAAGACTACTTTTCAGCTTCATCTACTTGCATATTTTTCATGTGGTTAAACATAGCAGATACATGCCATGCATGCTTACACTTTTTTTATTATTATTTGATCATTATCTTATTTTAAACAGCTTGGAATATACAATGTTGGTCAATAAATAAATGTATAATATTTGGAAAGCTTATTGTGCTTTCATAAAAATGTCTACAATATTATTGTTTGAATCAGGAAATGTTTAATAAAATTAATAAAATTGCTCGGGTTTTTTTCCAGTATGAGGAGAAAGAGGAATAACCATGGATAAATACCCTGCTCTTTATTACTCAGAAGTATTATTCTGTCCAACCACATAAAAAGTTAAAGAGACTCTTACTGACCGGTGACTACTAGCAGATTGATGTTGACCTAAAATATTTCTGATAACATTAGAAGGGGGATGACTCTTAAAAAACTGACAAGATAGAGATGAAGAATAAAGATGTACTTCTAAAAGATTGTTGCTGTGCAAGAACTAATAATTGCAAATGTGTGAATTTATGTATTTCTCTCAGCTTTGTACACATATGTATTTCAGTTATGGTTACTGCCCTCTTCTAGCCTCTGGTGACAGCCAAGTCCAGCTGAGAAGGTACAAATTTAGTCCTATCTTTGGGAACCTAAATGTACACTGATAACATTTTAAAAAGAGGGTAAAATGACAGGACGGGAATGGCACCTTTGCAACGCTCACAGCAAGCTCCTCTCTGCTTAATGACGAGGGCACAGTCCTTGGAGAGCACTGGACACTTCTCTCTTTTGCACGTCACTTCCTTATTCTGGAAAAAGAAAAAAAAAAAAGAAAAAAAAAAAGACAAAAGCTATTGCAAGCACACCAAACCCAAGGCTACCATTTCTTGCAATTCAGAAAATAAAATGTGGGCACAGTAGTCTGCTCTTTTGCTTCAGGAGAGGTCCTTGTGATTAAATACACCTTTCTTCCCTTGAAGGAACACAGTAGAAAAGAGTCTTTGAATAATCAGGGAACCCAACTAAATGGTGTTTAAACCCCATTTTGACAGTAATTCATGAGTGCTTCCCAGTCTTGTACAGCAAATGTGATGCACTGAAGAAATCCATGTTACTTAAATGAACAACTACCTACATGATGTGCTTGTTAAAATACCCTCGGGGTCTTGAGGAGCTGCCCCATGAACTGCACTGCTCAGGAATCACTTCTCATAGTGACAGAAGGACAAACAGCAGAGAAAGAGGTGGTAACCTCAGAGAAGACAAAATTCTGCCAATGCAGAAAATCAATTTTATCTAGAGGTTCTTTAAAAGAGGCTACTATGTACTATATCAGACCAGATGATTAGTGTAATTCATCTTTCTCCCCAAAATGATGAGAATCAATGAAACACCAGAAGCAGACAGGGTCACTGTACATTATAGTGTCATCTTGCTATGGCAAAAAGTCAGTGATTTCCCAAGGCCAAAGAGCACATTGACCACATTAAGGAGTGTCAATTGAGGGTGTGCAACAGCAGGCAGCAGAGATATTCCATTTATTGCCTACCTTGCCCCAGTGGTGTCAACCCTTTTGGTTATCCCTGCCATTAAATAGGTGCAGAAAACAATACTTTGGGTGTTTCTTTTAGTAAAATTTTGCTACTTCAAATTCCTTACTTAAAGTAGCCCTCTGAAGTCACCTCCACCTATAATTAGTAGCTCAGTTCATTAGGTGACACAGGTGGCCATCTAGTACGTGCAAGTATCCACCTCACCCAATCTTATGACTTAATTAGAGACCAAAAAATCAAAGGACTAGAAAAATGTAAATCATAAAACTAACGAAAAAGAAGCTGCGCTTTCCAGTCTTTTTATTTTGCTCCCTGTGGCCTCATTCAAGGTGCCTGTGAAGAATAACACACAGCTTTTATTACACTCCAGCCCTTTGTCTAAAATCAGAGGTTTATTTACTTCAAAGTCACTGCCTGATCTGATGGGAGCTATAAAGGCACTTCAGTCTTATCAGTGTAAATGAGGACTCACTCTCACCAAGACAGTGTGAAATCAGCAAATGAGAATCAGGCCCTAAAGCGCAGCTGCGGCAACACAAACGCTTACTGTAAAAAGCCAGGTCACTGCTACATGCTGGCTGTTCTGCATCACTCCAGCCCTGCAGAGCAACCATAAATGCAATTTAACCAGCAGCTTAAGCTGAATTTATGGCAGGTCTGTAGCTCTGGACTGGCACAAAGCAGCCACAACGCAGAATTGCAACTGGTTCAATATCTCTTTTAAAGCGCTCAGTGGAATCTTGATTCCCATTACAGGAACGTGGTGCCCCCCCCGTAAAGTCTGTTGAAGAGCAGCAGTCAAGCTTACCAACTCAACTACAGTCTGTATTTTAAAGGGTTCTTCGAAGATCTGATTATCTTTAATGAGTTTGCTTAAGGAAAGATTTAATAAGCCTATCAGCCCCACTACCTTCATCTGTGGGAAAATCTGCCTGGTGAAAGTGGGTGTGAAGGAAAGGCAAAACCCAGTTTAGGGTTTGTTCCTGTGGAGAACATGGTTGACCCAGCTGCAGCATGCATTGTGTACCTCTGAGAGAAGAGAGATGCCCTGTGCCCTTCAGAACCTACCTAGCTGGGCTGGATGTGTGTAAGGAGGGCCAGTGGGCAGATACATATTGGACTCCCTCCTCAAAGGACAACATTATTGTTGCAGGTGGCAGCAAGAGGGACAACAAAAATAACACAGTTCTGTATTTTTATTAAATCCCTGGTTCCCAGAGGACTACTGGGACAAATTCCTCAAGTATCCTGGCTTCCTAGGCAATTTCTCCCCTGAGTGCTGTCTGCCTCCTTCCACCCTTAGGCACATCCTGACATGGTTTCTTGTTGTAGGCAATGCAAGGAGTTCCTAAGGATGACCCCAACACACACATTTCAAACAGGAGAAACTTGCTAGTTATTTTTCCCAGTAGAAGCCTCCTGTTTCCCCCACATTGCTAAAATCAGAAAAATTCTCTCCAGTGATGAGCTTGGTATAATTGAGCCAGCCAAATTTGGGTCTTGCTCTTCTTTCCTTATCACCAGCAAAGCTGCTGGTTTTATCAGGTTTTCTGGGAGGGAAAATTTTGGAATTCATGTGCTGATGCCAAGGGCTGTTTTGCATTAAGCAGCTGTTCCACATGAAGAATATTAGTGGTCCACAGTGCAGTGACAGGAACTGAAGGGCCCTTCCCCCTAGGAGGGTGTCTTAAGCAGTAGGCTACAGATTCACATTTCCTTTGTCTGTCTCAGTAGACTTTGAACTATTTGCTGTTCAGTGCCCTTGCTCCAGCAGAAAGGGGCTTGTTCTTCATTCTCCCACAAGTCACTGGTTCTTACAGCAAGGGTACTTGTGGAGAAAGCAGGAGATGAGTCACTGAATTGCCTCTGGATGTGGAAGGCAGCAAACCGGGATCACTGGCTCAAAGCTCACTTATTACAGCACAGGTGGGGAGGAGGTTCCCCACTCACCACCCACTGCACTCTTTTTTCAGCTCTGTCCCTTGGGGGAGAAGCTGCATCCTCCTGCCTTAAAGGACAGCTCCATGTATCATAGGCAAATAGATCCCATATTTGCCAGCACAAGAAGAGCAGCTAAGCACTAAAACAGGGTAGGATTTGCAAAGCTGGTGTTCATCGTCTCTAGCTTGTTATAGGCAAGGCCCAGACAGCTCCAAAACAGGCTGTTTCAGATGTCATCCCGAGCTGCCTAATTCCCTGCCATCAGGGCTGGGCTGCTCTTCCAGGGTGTGAGGTACAGCATCACTCAGGAGTGCAGCCCCACCGCTGCTTGTGGGGCCTTTTACTAAAGAAACATACAGTAAAGCCACAAATGCAACATATTGCTGCCCTGGCATAGTCCTCATGGCAAAATCCCTCCTGAAGTAAGAAGAGATGAATGTAGCTCCAGGGAAGTGCATTCTCCTACTACTTCTATTACTATTATTACTATTATCCCAAAATTCTTTTTAAAAAGTCCTGCTGTTTTATCTCAGTGCTGTATCTTGTGGAAAACAAAGTCAGCAGATGTGGAGGAAAGGGTTAATGTACCATGCTGATCCATCACAGGCCTGCAGCAGATAAAGCAGGGCTGGTAAATCATTGTTTAGTCTATTGCAGTCAGGCATTATCCAGTGCAGATCTCCTGGGCCCACTGGGTGTAAAAGTACAAAAATAAAACAAAAGACTAATTGTCATCTGGAGGCTGGGTTTTTTTCCTTCACCCAGTTGCCCAAAACACTGCTCTTAATGTCTACTGTCCATCTGCTTGTTTCAATTTTGCTGCCTCCTCCCCTCCCATTTCACAAGGGCAAAGTGGAGGCTGAGAGCAAACGGGACTTAAGCAAGAAATCCTTTCCTTCCAATTACGTCCCCCTCCTACCCCCAGTAATCATAACTTGTCCCAGCCATACATTTAGAAAGTCGCTAAGTAGCTGCATGCAGGAGAGCTGTATTACCAAGCCTCCATCTGTGCTGTCAACAGCGTCTCTGAATCTGTTGAAAGCTCTCAGATACTTTGAATTTTGCTGTTCTTAAGAGAAAACTTCTTAGACTGCAACAATCAGAAGCCAACAGTTATGGGAGGGTAGGGGATTTTTTTTTCCCCTTTTGTTTAAAGGACATGCACTCTGGCACCGAGAAGTGCGGAAGAGACACATGGCCCATAAATATATAAACCGTTTGCTAAGTCAGAAACCTGGGAGTCAGTCAAATCCATAATAGGATCCCAAGATTCATAATAAATAACTTTTAATTATAGTCCTGCACAATAGTTATTTTAAACAGATGGTTTATAGATTCACATCTGGGATTATTTTTTTTTTTTAATTTAGTGCTCAGGCACACACACAGAAAGGGAGAGAACCTCAGCTAAGGTTTCTATTAGTGTTGGAAAAATACGTATTTTTTTAAAAGAGGTCAGGCTGATCCAGAACAATGCTGCTGCATCTGACGCAACTCCCCAGTCAGTGCTCAGCTCAGCAAAGGGTTCACTCTGGAATCCCAGACTCCCTTGGAAAGGAAAATTTAGGGAAGTGCTAGAGGGTCACCATGGACTCCTCACTACACTCACCAAGCCCAGCTGCTGGAGAACTCATGTTTTAATGCATCTGGGGAAAGGATTAGAAATTTTGTTGGGTGTCCATGTTTCTCCCCTCTCCCACACTTTGTCAGTGACAACCAAGGGTCTCCTTAACTTGGCATGCAGCAGTGATGTCAAATTCACTCACAGCAGAGATACACTAACCAGACCCAATATCACTGTTACTGCTTCATGTTACCTTTACTACAACCTCCTCTCAACGCAATTTGTTCACCTTCTACATACACCTCATATTTTTACCTTCTATCAAAGAACCCCACACAAAACAGCCCATTCTGGAGACAAATTATATCAAACTAACAGTCTTAAACTCATATGGTACAGCTAAATAAAATGCCAACATGAAAAGAAAAAAAAAAAAAACACACACACTAAAAAGGAGTCTGAATATTTGGCAGAGATCTTGGAGAGGATATGTGCCAAACCACAGCTTGGAAGCCACAGCCAACTTTCTACAGGGTTCCCCACTGGACTCCTGCCGGCTCACAGCAGCCACCAGAACGATGGCTCTTTTCAACCTGGATTTGACTTCAAGAGGGGGAAAAAAAAAAGTAATAGGAGTCTGCTTCATTTATTCAGGACTGTACCAAGGAGTGCTTCCACCAATGGTATTCTGAGCCCTCTCTTGTGCTGTAACAGCTGGCTGCAGAAGACATTGCAGATGTTTCTCAGGGGG